TGCACGATGGATGTGCTTGTGAGGCGCCCATTTGTGAGGAGCAGATCCCATCACATGTTTGGGTTGTTTATTCTCTACATAAGCTTTGTTTTGGGATAAGTGTTTATGGTATTCGGTGAGAAAGCGTCTCTTTTCAAATGGGATAGTATATCAAAGTTGTGTTTGATACCATTGTCACTTTTGATTGCAATGTAATGTTTTGTATTGGTTAATATAATTTTTTTGAGAAATTATATTATCACATCAAATAATAAATTCTATTAAAAAATATAGGCATTGGATTATGTATTGATATTTGTGGTGGAAACACCAAATTTGACGTATAATGAAAAAGCACAGCATACCCAATGTTGTATCAATAACTCAAAACATTTGCGGTATGTTCTCATCAAATTTGTCTTGACCAACCTAAAACATTGCAAGTAGAAGTGAAAATGGTACCAAATACAATCCATGTTGTCTTTGGGAGACCAAACATATAGAAATGTAGACTACTCCATCAAAGATTAATAAAGTTTAGCATAACCTAGCTCTCAGTGTGATTTTACTCCATTTGTTTTTCCTATCTATAACATGATCAATCACTACAATCTACTTCTATCTTAGCATTTTCCATTCCTAAAACTTCTCACACATTCATTCACTCCAAAATTATTTTTCCTCAAAACTTTGTAATAAGAATAAAATCACGGGAAATGCATGATATCCATTTTGTTATGCCAATTAGATATGATGGAGAAAAATTTTGGCACATATTTCCTTATTTCTAATGTTATGCGCTTTTTTCATTCAGTATTTTACTACTTCTAAACACAACAAAAAAAATAATTATTATTTACAGTCTTTCTCCCTATTATTAGGAATGAAACCTACCCTCTTAGAATTATACGTTGTCCAAAACCCAAATAGATAGATGATTGGTAAAATAAAATAAATACTAAAAAAAGAGGAATTTATACTATGTAACTTTATAACAAAAGTAAAAAACGAAGGAAAAGTAAAAGAAAAAAAATCTATTTATGTTCTGGTAAAAAACTCATAAACAATAATAACAATCAGTAAATGCTACTACATGTATAGAAAGCCATATTAGTAGTTTGATGGAACTTGGAAATAGAATACAATGAGGACTAGGGATGAGCATGGGCCGATTTGCTTCAGTTCCATGCTTCCAAGTTTTTGGAATCGAAACCTATTCTATGAAGGTTGGTTCTGGACTTGGTGGTTCTAGGGTCGGTTTTAGAGTCTACCTATGGAACTTGTATTTTCTTTACTCCCCCTATATATGTGTGTGTGTGTGTGTGTGTGCGTCTTTAAAAACGTGATTTTTAATAAATATAATATATAGTTTAAAATTTATATTATTTTTAGTAATTAAATTAGACAACTTAATATGTAGGCTATCATTATATGGTTAAAAACTTATAAATTCAATTTAAGTATTGTAAATATTACCTTTTACAATACTTATTGTACACATACAAATATTAAAATGAAAACAAATGATCAAATTACTTGAATAACTCAATAGTCAAGTTAGACTATGGCCTTTGTAGCCATGAATGTTTGGGCTCAAATCTTCACACCCCCAAAAGTATTATGGGGTTTATTTTAAGGTAAGTTTGGTTCCAAGCCAGGTTCCACCAAAGCCAACTAAGGCGGTTCATCGGGTTAGTTTGAGTAGGGTAAACCCCTAAACCCTGGAACCGGCCTGCATGTGTTCCAAGAATTTTGAACCAGACAGTACCCTGAAATAGATTGGGTAGGGCCGGTTCGAGGTTGGTTCCATTCAATTGTAGGTAAAACCTAATCATTTGCTCACCTCTAATGAGGAAGTAGTGGATACAAGTGAACGGGTTTTTCATTTTATGGAGACATTATGTTTAACATTCTTATTCTTTTATAAGAAAAAGTTTAGTCATATCCTTAATTTTCCCTAAAATGGTATTTCCTATTTCTCATTCCACTTTCTCTCACCCTAAAAACATACTCTCATATTAGAATTTTTACATATATATTATATAAGAGCACATGTGCAAGCAAATATAACCCATACATGATATACGATATTTTGATTTAACTTTTATAACTTATATGGAAAATATCCACTTTATACAATATAGATAAGATATATTTTGTATCATTGTTCATCACTCATGTGCATGCACATGTGCTAATGCACTTGGTTGAATAGAAAAATCATGAATGCATGAACACAAAACTTATAATATAGAACAAGTTTGCACATGAACACATGATCTGTGAGTCCACTTTCGTTATCACAATATATGGGAATTTCTCACCCTCTCCCTTATATGCTCTTTGCCACTAATTAACGATTTCACAAGTGCTTTTTTTTCATTTCTATAAAAAAAAGTATTCAAGTGGAGCAATATTTATTATGCATTATGCAAAGAATAATAACCTTTTTAGGAATGGCAACGGGGCAGGTTCAGGGCGGAGATCATATTCTCTGTCCCCACCCCCAATTTTGAAATTAACCTCCAGTCCCATCCCCGATTTCTGCCGGGGATAAAATTTGTCCTCCATCCCCTCTCCTTGACAGGGACCCAAATTCCTGAAATTTTTTTAGATAATAGTATTTTTTTGAAAAATAAGTTCACTTAAAATAAATAAAAATTTTAAATTATAAATAATGTTTTGATATATATATATAATATAAATAATATACATTTAATATAAATGACATTTAAATACACAATCAGGGTCGGGGCAAGGTGGGGACCTCAATCCCCATCCCCAACCCCAACCTCGATCGGGAATTCCTATTAATCCCCATCCCCATCTTCACCCCGCCAAAACAATCCCCATCCCTGATGGGGTCGGGGATGGGGAAATTGTCATCCCTAAACCTTTTGGGATAAGCTATCTAGGCCTAGGCCTGTTTTATTTCACTTTTATTAAGTACTTAAAAAAGCGATGGACCATACAATAAGTGAAAAATAAGCACTTATTCCTATACGAGTAGGAATAAGTGATCAATAAATAAATAAGTTGGAGATGGCTTTTTTAAAACACTTATTCAACAAGTGCTTATTCCAAAATTTTGGAACGGTCCAATCCCTACAAAATTTTCTTAATACCTAAACTACCCCACTAAGGAGAAAACCCTTCTTCTCCTATATTCAAACCATACGAACAGATAAACAACAAGAGGGAGTAGAGGTCCGACCGGGGATCACCGGTACGATGGAAAATGTCAATGCATCTAGACGATGGGCGATAATGAAGACAATTAATGAGGCTAACGAAGTGGGTTATGTTTCCTTTTCTTTTTCTGTGTTCTTTCCAGATCTCTTGTTCTTCTTTCGGCGTAGGGCGTGCGGGGTGTCACAACTCACGAGTCGCCTAGCTACCAAACGGTCCAAAATTCCTGATTCGGTCTCCGTCGTATCATAATCATCATTCTACTTGCGCGTTGGAGATCAAGAAAATGCGGAGGAATTGGGAATCAAGCATCACAGACAATGAACGGTGTTGTCAAATTTCGTCTGTGTCTACGATGCTTTTGGCTACACTGCTTCATGGTTGGTGAAGCTCTTGCTTCAGCACGGGTATATTATCAAAGCTTCTGTTTGTGAGCCATTTGTAGAATTATATGAAGCCAGGTATCAAGTGTTGAATGAGAACTTATGTTTTATTAAGTTATAAGGACATGTATAATATATACAAGGTTGAGACAGTTGTAACAGAAAGGTACATGTGGCAAGATATAGTTGTACATATAACTGACTCTATTTTACTCTATTATTCTAACACCCCCCCCCTTTAAGTTGGAGCTTCTCTGATGCCCAACTTGGATAAGTGTCCATGGAAGCGATCGATAGGAATAACCTTTGTAAACAGGTCCACGGGTTGAGTGTTGCTAGAAACATGTGTTGTAATTAAATCGCCATGTTGGACAAGATCACGTACAAAGTGGCAATCAATCTCGATGTGTTTTGTGCGTTCATGAAAAACTGGGTTGGCAGCAATGTGAAGAGCAACTTTGCTATCACAGTAAAGAACTGGAGGTCCATTCAGAGTAATAGTGAGTTCAGCAAGGACCCGTTGTAACCAGATAATTTCAGATGATGCAACGGCCATGGCACGATATTCGACTTCAACATAGGATCGTGAAACTGTGTGTTGTTTTTTTGTCTTCCATGAGAGGGGGTAATCCCCAAGCAGAGTAAGATAGCCAGTGGTGGAGCAGCGAGTAATGGGGCAACTCGCCCAATCAGAATCACAAAAAACCTTGGAGGTGAGGTTTGCTTGAAGCTGAGAAATATAACCCGGTAGAGAGTGTTCCTTTAATGCACTAAACAACTCGGAGGGCAGCATCAAAATGTTCTTGATGAGGCTCATGATTGGCTTAGTCGGTTGATCGCAAAACTTAATTAAGGGCGAGTGGCAGTGAGGTAAACAAGTCAGCCCACTAGTCTGTGATATTGTGCAGGATCAGAGTAAAGTGGACTAGAGCTATCAACAAGGTGATTCTATTGTTCCATTGGTGTGGCACAGGGGTCACAGTCTTGGAGTCTAGTATCTTGGATAATATCAAATGCATATTTATGTTGATCGAGAAAAATTCCAAAATGTGTGACTTCAAGGCCCAAGAAGAACCGTAATGGGCCAAGGTCCTTGATGCCAAACTTGTCATCTATTTGTTTCTTTATGAGAAGAATGCGATCATGATCATTGCCAGTAATGATAACATCATCTACATAAACAAGGATGGCAACAAAAGAAGCCTTGGAGGAAGCAGTGAATAAAGAATAGTCCGCAGTGGATTGTGTGAAGCCAAGAGATGTTAGGTTATGTGTAAATTTTGCAAACCACATTCTGGAGGCTTGCTTAAGGCCATATAGAGATTTTTGTAGCTTACAAATTTGAGTAGCATCAGTAGTTGTAAATCCCTGAGGCACGGTCATGTAGATTTCTTCATTGAGGTCTCTATGAAGAAAGGCATTATTTACATCCAGTTGGTGGATTTCCCATCATTTGATTGCTGCCACAGCAAGAAGACAACGGAGGGTGGCTAATTTTGCCACAGGAGCAAAGGTATCATGGTAATCAAGACTTTCAACTTTAGAATAACCTTTTGCTACAAGACGCGCCTTGAAGCGCTCTATGGTACCATCAAATTTGTATTTAATTTTGCACACCCATTTTGAACCAATAGGATGTTTGCTTGGAGGGAGAGGAGCAATTTTCCATGTATCATTGCGCTCTAAAGCTGCTATCTCAACGGCCATGGCTTGGCGCCAGCAAGGGTCCTGAGCAGCTTGATCATAGGGTTTTGGTTCAATGGCCAAGGCAACATGGTTTAGTCTAAAGATGGAAGGTGGAAGCTTACAAATGTAGTCATTGAACTCAGCTGGAACCGTAGTCGAGCATCGAGGTCGAGATGGTTGGCTCATTATGGTGTTGAGTGGAATGATAGTAGAATCGACTGTGGGGTTGTTGTCATGGGTAATGGATGGAGAAGAATCAATTGTAGGCTCACTATGAGTGGGTGGGAAAGGATAATCACAATCATCATAAGGACTGAGTGGGAGAGGTATAACAGAATGTGAGCCATGATGGGTAGAAGTTATTGGACCAGCTTTATAAGGAAATTGGTCCTTATAGAAAATAACACCCCTACTGATAAAAATGTGGTGGGTTTCAAGGTTAACCCTTCGTGCCATGAGGGTAGCTGATAAATATACAAGGTACGGTGCAGGCAACAAATTTATCTAATGGTTTGGGGATCACTTGGGCAGAGCAAAAACATCAAAACACCCGTAAGTGGGCATAAGAAGGTTTCTTGTGAAACCAAGCTTCATAGGGGGACATATTGGACAACATGGGGGTGGGCAGTAAATTTATGATATGTACAACAGTGAGCAAGCATTCACCCCAAAATGAAATCGGTAGGTCTCCCTAAAATCTTAAAGCTTTGGCTACTTCTAGTAAGTGACGATGTTTCCTTTCAACTACCCCATTTTGTTGGGGCGTGGCAACACAAGAGATTTGGTGTAAGATGCCCTGATTGAGGAGGAATTGCTGCACTGGTCTAGAGAGAAACTCCATGCCACTGTAAGATCGAATGTTCTTAACAAATGTATCAAATTGTTGAGCAACCATGGTGCAAAAAAACATAATATGGAGGCCAGCCTCTGCTTTATTTTTTAACAGATAAATCCAAGTACGGCGTGTATTACCATCAACAATGGTAAGGAAAATACTGTGCACCAGAATGTGAGGGCGTCTTACAGCTGCCCCAAATGTCACAATGAATTAGGAAAAAAAAAAGAAAAGGGCTACGAGAAGTGCTAATGGGAAATGGTATGCTGACTTGTTTGGGTCTGTGACATGTATCACAACATTTATTCATGTTGGAAGTAGAAATACTAGGAATGAGCACCATGTGGGTTTATGAGGCATGACCCAAGCGTTTGTCCCAAAGGTCAGGACTGATGGTGGCAGTGGAAAGATTCGCAACCACCGGAAGCAAGGTGGAGGAGAAGGTGAAGTGGTATAAGCCATGGCGAAGTTCACCCGTCCTAATCACAATCTTGGAGGTTTAGTCCTAAAGTGTACATAGAGAAGGGGAAAAAACAACCACACAATTAAGTTGTTGTATGATTTTGCTAACAGATAACATGTTGCAATTAAATGCATGAATGAATAGAACATCATGCAAAGTGCAAGAGCCAATAATGACAGAACCACGAAGGGTGGTATAAGTGACAGAACCATTTGGTAGTCGGATAGGCGTATGAACAGGCTTAGAAGAGTGGAAATAAGAGGAGCAAGAGATCATGTGATCAGATGCACCGTTGTCCATGGTCCATTCAATAGGTGGTGGAATAGGCTTACCAGTAGTGGCATTGGCTGTGAAATCAGGAGACTCACAACTTAAGAGAGAGATCAATTGAGTGTACTAGTGCATGGTGAGTCAAATTATTGGAGATGACTGATCTGGTGAGGTAGTAGAAGTGTTAGCAGCAGTTGCACAAGATGCTGGTTTTTCATTCTTTGAGGTATTGGCTTGCTGTGCAATAGATTTCCCATTATTGTGGTGATTCCAGTGAGGTGGATACCCAACGAGCGTATAACAACGATCTTTGGTGTGTCCTGTGCGCTTGCAGTGCTCACCAAAGTATTTAGACCGGGAGTTCCCATTCTTGGCTGAATTTGCATTGAAGGCTGCCGCCTCAGGTTGCAATGCCTGAGGAGAGACGAGAAGTTGATGACGTTCTTCCTGTGTAACAAGGGAGTAAGCCTTGTTGAGTGACGACAGGGGGTCTGTGCCAAGAATGCTTGAACGAATTGCATTAAAGCACTCATTCAATCCCATAAGAAACTGATGGAGTTTCTCCCTTTCACGCTTAGCTGTGTAGGTCTTTGCAGCCCCGCACGTATAGATTGGATGATCCGTAAGTGCGTTGAGTTCATCCCATAATGCCTTCAGCTTTGTGAAATAACCGGTTGCAGACAATTCACCTTGCTAAGACAGAGCAATATCACGTTTCAGTTGATGAATTCGTGGAATGTTCCCTTAAGAGAATCTTTCTTGTAATTCTTTCCATATATCAACAGTTGATTCAATGAAGGCGACACTGCCATAAACTTCTCTTTCTTAATGTTATTTTTATTTCTTTTGTTGTTTATGTTGTGCTTTGTCCTTACTCCTTTGCGTAGTGGGTCTTGTGAATGTGTTTCCATGTTTGATGTTTTGAATCTTTTGATGGAGCAGTCAAGCACTACTCCATGTCCATGACGAATCAGATTTATCTCTTATACAATTTCTCCCGATGCTCAGTGGAATTATACATCCAAATCAAACAATATGGCTGCTGATCTTGTTTCTAGATATGCTTTATATCCATTAAACGCGGCAGAAAAATTTTCAACCGCTATTCTTTCAGTTATGCTTGTGAGTCGTTCTTGAATTTCAAACAGCCCTTAACGACTACTCTTTTTTTAGCCCTAAGCTCTTGAGTTATAGAGTAAGAACCAGAGCAATTGGCGTTAATGGTGTTTGGTGGTTTGAGATTCTGGTTTTTACTCTGCAAACTGAAAAACTTCCTTGATGCTGTGGTTGTTAGTCTTGTTTGCAAGGGGTTAAAAATGCCATTTAATAAAATAAACACTTGTTAGGAAAGTGATTCATCAAACGTTCCTTTCCCAATAAGTACTTAAAAGTGGTTTGGCAAATGGGTTACTAGGCCCTGTTCGAGAACACTTAAAATAAGTACTTCTTTTAACAAGTACTTCTTTTAAGACATGGGACCACACATTAAGTGGTTTTTAAGTACTTATGGGTGTTTGGTAAAAAAGAGGGTAATAAGTACTTGTTTTTAAAGAAGTACTTATTTGAAAAAGTGACTTGAAGTTGTTTTTTTTGTCCAATACTTTTTAAATAAGTACTTCTCCAAAAAAATGGGACGAACCAATCCCTAATATTTTATTGTAATATCTAAAATACCCCCACTCTCATTCTCTTGCTTTTCTCTCCCTCTCTCCTTGTCTCAATCTCTCTGCCAACATGACATCGACGGCTAGTGTACCGGTCGACAATTGGTGTACTAGCGACATCGACGGCCGATGTATCGGTCGACAGTCGATGTACTAGCGACGTCGACGACCGGTGTACTGAGCTTGATACCAGGCCATCATGAAGTGACTCGTTAGTATATATATATATGAGAGAGAGAAGTGATGACTAAAATTATCATTTATATAAAATATAAGCACTTATAGAGAAAATAGCTTACCAAACATTCCCACCCCAATAAATACTTAAAAAATAACAAAAAATATAATAAGTGATTTGAAAAAGTGGATTAACAAACAGCCTAAAAACCATGATGCGCATGACGCATCCAAGAGCATATAAGGCATGGCTATGTTTGAATTGTAATTTCTCCAACCTATAAAAAGAAGACTATAACCATGTAATATCTCTTTCTCTCATATGTAAAAAAATGTTGTCCTTTTGTGGGTTGATTAGAAACAAATTGGAAAGGAGGGGTGAGATCTTGACAGTCAAATAAATGGCAAGCAGGAAATCGGATTTAAAAGCGAACAGCCAGCACCCATGGAAGATGAGCATTGAGCCACCCAAAAATTATTAATTTAATCATTACCATCTCTCAGGAACCTCTTCTCCCTCGCATTGCTAGTATCGCCCTCACTGTAAATCTCTCCGTATCTATCTCACTTGTTTCGTCTGTTTGGCATGGCGATCGCAGCTGCAGCTGTTGTTGTCCCTCTGGGTCTGCTTTTCCTTCTCTCTGGCCTCATGGTTAATATAATTCAGGTAACGAAGAACCAATTTCTGCCCTCCTCCTTCTCCCCTTCTTCTTCTCTTTAAAAAAAAAGGAAGGATCTTCTAGTTCTGGTTTCCCTCTCTTCCTTTTTTTCTGTTTTGTTTTTTTTATGGGCATTTTTTAATGCTCGATTTTATTGTTTGTTCCTCTAGGGATTTATTTGGTTAGAGCTACTCGTTGTTGGTTTTTCTAATGCTTTTAGGGATTGATTTACCAGCATTTTTTACGTTAATGGGTCGGGGTTGTTTGGCGCTATTGCTATCTCGGTTTGTTCTGAATTTTCGTTTTTGTTGGCTTTTACATTGTTTTTTTTTTGAATAAAAGATTTCGTTTTAGCAAATGTGGGTTTTGGTATGTTCAAATTTCTGTGTCTTCCTAGACTGGAATTGGAATGTTCAATTTTATTCTTGATTTTTTTTTGTTCTTAAAAATTTGATATTCGTATTTATGTTTTTTTCAGTCTCACTTTATCTTTATTGCCCTTTATAAAATTTCTTTGAACTCTAATAAGTTTTAACACTCATTATCTACAGGCAGTATGCTTCATCCTTGTTCGTCCGGTATCGAAGAATATGTACAGGAAGATCAATAGAGTGGTGTCAGAGTTGTTGTGGGTGGAGCTTGTATGGCTCATCGACTGGTGGGCAGGAGTTAAGGTGTTAAGCAACTTACCGATACATGTTTATGTAGATATAACTTTGTTGCAATTCATTTTTATTTTTCCAATGCTGCCTTCTTTATTGTTTTAAATAATAGATAATACAACTACATTGACTTATCAAATTAATATCCATGTGTGGATGTGTTAATAATTAGGTGAATATGCTGTAATTCCACATGCTTCTTTACTATCTAAATGCAAGTCTAGGTCCCTACTTTTTGTTTTGCAAAGTTACTTTTAATGTCAGTTGAAAAGTTTATGGTAATTAATATCCGAGATATAATTTTGGTGTCTTAGAACTGAATAATTTGTATATGTCTTCTTTATCTGCTATTCCTTTGGCACGATAGCTTGAAATTGATTTCATAGTTACATACTTACATCAATAAATATGAAAGGAAGCTTTGGATTTGGAAGGAAAGATTGTCACATTCTTGAATGAGATCGAAATCCACTTTGGGAACTTTGCAAGGGCAGGTCTCTTATCACTGGTCCAGGGGTTCAGAGATTTAGATAATATCCCACAGGTTATTAAAGGATATGTAATTAGGGAGATTCAAAAATTGTTATAGCCTATAGGATAGATGAGAAACAATAACTTGAAATAACAGCATTTAGAGGTCATTCCAAAGAGGCAATGGTTGAGAACGTCACAGTAAAGGTAGTCCGTTGGGTTAAAATGCTGCCCACTTTAGCACATAATGAGGAGTATTTGACGTGCCATGACCTCTAGCAAAAAAGATCATGTTGAATTTTGATGGGTATAGGATGAGAAATCCAGGATAGTAAAGCTGTTAGGACCCCTAAAGAGCCCAATGCAGTAGGATGGGAACTGTGCCTCAACGGAAGATGGGCCAAAACGAGCTGAGTTATAGGAGCCAGCCTAGCAAGTGGAGCCATCTATCAAGTATATTTTAGAAGGCCATGTTACAGTAACTGACCTTCTAGAATCTATTAACCAAGTACAAAGAACAAGAGTTTGCTATTTCCTGTAATGAATCGTGGAGTATAAAAGGGATGATCACTAGGAAATGATTAGCAAACAAGGTTTACCACTCAGACTTCTTCTCTTCTCTTTGTATAAGGAGGAAGGTGTTGGGTACTAATCCAACAAGTTGGTATCAGAGCAATCATGACAAGTAGCAGATCTGTTATGGAAGATAGAGTGGATCGATTGGAAGTTGTTTTTTACAAATTTAAAGGTAATTTGAAGGAGATCAATGAAGTATTATCAGTAGTGATAATTCAATATGAAAAGTTAATCACATTTGGAGTTAGAGAAGGTGATCAAGAAGCACCAGGCAATGGATACATTAGGCAAGGTAGTTTCTTCTCTGGCAAATTTGCTAAGCTTGACTTCCCTATGTTATTAAGCGGTGATCCTTTAGCCTAGATATTAAAAGTAGAGAGATACTTTGAATACCACAAAACACTTGGCTACCAAAGAGTATCAATTTGCCTCGATCTACTTGGAAGGGAAGGTGATTGTGGAAGAACATTGCATGAGGTTTGGGATTTTGACATATGAAGATTATGATATACTCTTTTGAAGTTAAGACAAATTGGTTTGGTACATGAATGCCAATATTGGACTTGAAAAACTTACCACTAGAGTCTCCGATTAGTTGGAAAAGGCATTGGTTAGGAGCTTTATAGGTGGCTTAAGGGAAGACATATGATTGGAAGTTAAGGCTTGGAGACCAACCACAATCATGGCCACAGTAGGCCTTGTGAGGTTACAAGAAGAAAAATTAAACACCTCAAGTAGTTCAACTGATTGCCAGCTGTACACTTAAGAATCTTGGTCTACAGATTGAGAACTCTGATCCATGTAATCCTAGATCCTTGGCCTAATCATCCATACCTTTTAAACACCTTGTGTGGGCTAAGATGCAGGCCTGTAGAGAAAGAGGTTTATGTTATAATTGTGATGACAAATTTGGGCCCGACTACAAGTTCAAGGCCCAACAAGCTTTCTTGCTTCAAACAGATGATTTTGATGGAGAGGATGGCCTAGTTGGGGTTGAGCCTGTGATATGGAAGGAAAAACTAGGTGACCTAATGAGTATTAAGGCTTCAAAGACTTATTTAACTAGCAAGGTGATGGTAGACCTCGAAAAGATTTCTTGCATGATTGAATGTCCCCAACCCAAGCCCCTAAAATGCTTGAGAGGGTTTGTAGGTTTGATGGGCTACTAAAGGAGGTTCATTAAAGGGTATGGGCTGCTATCTGCTCTTGTAAATCAGAATTGCAAAAAAAACTCCTTCATATGGATGGTGTGGGCCCAATAGGCCTTTGATGCACTTAATTTGGCCATGACTTCATGTTTGGTTTTGGCACTTTTGGGCTTCACAAAGGTGTTTATAGGGGAGTGGATTAATGCAAGAAGGGCAACAATTGGCCTACTTTAGCATAGGGGTGCAACTTGGGCATGCTAGGGTTGGGCTTTTGTCAAAATTTGAATGGGCTTGACCCAAAGGCCGAAGCCTAAATTTTGTTAAATGCTAACTTTGACCAACTTGAGTTGCACCTGTACTTAAGCAAATCCCTATAGGCCTAGGCACAATTAGGGCTGCAATCGAACCAAGCCGAGCCGAGCCGAACTTTGGCATGTCTTGGCTCGACTTGACTAAAATACTACTAGGTTTGAGTTCAAGCTTGAGTTTGTCTCGAACTATATTTTTTGGCTCGAGCTCAATTCAATTAAATATTCAATGAGCATGAGTTCAGCTCGAAAGATCGAAAATAAATATATTTGTATTTTTATATGTATGATATTTTTTATAATATATAGTATATTCTTATATTATAGAATATAAAAATATATTTCTATACATAGAATATAAAATATATTTTATAATATTAATCAAGCCAAGCTTGCGATCTTTCGAGCCAAACTTTTTATTGATTGAGCTCGAGCTTGGATAACTAATCGAGCTTACCCCAAGGTTTGAACTCGACTCGAGCTCGACTAGAATTGAACTCGAATCGAGCCTAATCGAATTTGAACTGGACTATTCAATTAGAGCTCGATTCGATTGCAACCCTAGGCGCGATCCAAATTTGCCTATGAGAAGGAACTTATGGCTATTGGGTTGGCAGTCCAAAAATGGCAAGTTTATTTGTTGGGTCGTGGGCTTATCATTTGAACAAACAAGTGAAGTTTGAATTACTTGCTCTAGTAAAGAATCCACACCTCGGAGCAACAAAAGTGGATCTATAAGTTGTTGGGCTTTGATTATGTGATTGAATATAAATTGGGCCTTGTCATGTATCAATGAGTTGGCCCACTTAAGTGTCTCTCAATTCAGCTATCCACTTTTAAACAAAATAAAGAAGGAAGCCCACTTGGATCTAGACCTGGCCTGCAACCGAGATCAGTGAGTGAAGGATCCTTCATCCACCTCAGGGTATTCCCTTGACTCAACTCTATATTATAAGGGCAGACAGGTGGTTGCTTCTAAACCCGGTCATATTTCAGAACTTTGTTTATTTCATGACTCACCCGTGGGAGGGCACTCTGGTATCTTGTGTACCTACTGGTGATTGGATGTTCTTTAGTATTGGTCAGCCATGGAAGAATTAGTGAAGGATTACATTGCCTTCTATCCAGTTTGCCAGCAACACAAGCATGAAGCCCAAGCTCTCGCTGACTTGCTATAGCCCTTGCCTATACTAGAACATGTATGCGAGGTGTCAATGGATTTTGTGTCCAAGTTGCCTCCTCCATCTAGTAAGTCAGTTATTCTAGTGATGATAGACCATTTAACAAAATACGATCATTTTGTTGCCTTGCTACACCTCTGCAATCCTGCCCATGTGGCTGAAGTTTTCATTTGAGACATAGCCAATTTGCACTGCACCCTAAGTGAAATCATCTCTAGGACATTACTTTTTTTAGTTGATTTTTGGAAAGAGTACTTCTAGCTGCAAGGTACTTACCTTCACCATTCCACTAGCTACTATCCCCAGTCCGATGGCTAGATTGAGGTTGTCAATTGGTGTTTAGAAACTTATCTGAAATGTTTCACTGGAGAGAGGCAAAGGAAATATGGTTACCTTGGGCAGAGTTCTGATATAACACCTCTTTTCATGCAGCTGTTGGTATGACCCTCTTCAAGGCTTTATAGGGGGCCTTTGGCCATAGCCCCAGTAGATGAAAACTTAACAGCTTGAAATAATAAAAAAAAAAGAAAAAAAAACAGCTTGAATCTATTGATGCAGCACATGAAGCCCATGATACTGTGGCCAAGTTGGAGATGGACCTGTTCATGGGTCGGTCTTGGTCTCAGGCTTGGGCTTAGCTTTTGCAAAAATTTGAATGGGCCCAGCCTGAAGCTGTGTAAAATGTTCATGGGGTAAGCCCAAAGCCTGGCCCATGAGTGGGTCTAGTTGGAGATGGAAGCCCATAAAGCTCAAACCTAGAAAGCCCAAAAAGATGCATGCTAGAAACCGTCCAATGAAGTTGTGTAGCAGTTAAAAGTGAGGTGTGTCACACTATGACATATTGGCAGAAATGGTGGTGCAATGTGTCAAGAGCTCAATTTATCACATATATGCCATACCTTTGCTAATTTCTCAACATTTCTTTCTATGTTCTCTATATTCTTAGAATAAATCCAATATTCTCAAAATCAAACAAAATATTCTGAGAATAAAATAAAATATTTGGAGAATAATTGAAGATATTGAAGAGTCTGGCAAGTTAATAACTTTTAGAAAGTGAATCAAGAAAGAAGAGGCAAGTTTAGATGACACAATCTCAAGACTTGGGCAAGAAGATTCATCTAATATAAGAAGATCTAGCAAATATTCAGTTTCATTTTTGAGCTAGATATTATTCTAGCAATATTCCCGTTCTATTTTTGTGTTGAGCTTATTATAGTAAACTATTTATCTAGCAAATATTTAGTTTAATTTCTTTTTGTTACCTATCAGAAAAAATTATTAGCAACTTAATTGCCAAGATCAAGCAATTGATCTCTTGGCAATTTGACTGCATCATCTACTCAAAACACTAAAGAGGACATGAAGCTTCAGCCCTACTCACAGGCTTTGATAGCAAAGAGGACATGGCACAAAATATCACCCAGATATTATGGACCTTCAAGATTCTAGAGCGAGTGGAAACTGTGGCTTACTGACTAGAATTGCCAGTCAGCTCAAAGCTGCACCGTGTTCCATGTTTCTCTTAAAATAGAGTGTAGGGCAGCATACCCGAGTTACTTCCTCCCTACCAGAATTTATAGAAGATGGCCAACTGATGGCACAACCACTTAAAATTTTAGATTACAGATGGGTGAAGATAGGTAAAAAAAATCATCAAGGAAGCTCTACTATCTTTGGCTGATCTACCTCTGAAGGATGCAGCATGGGAGAAATATTTTGCACCGCAGCAACAATTTCCCCAGATCAACCTTGGGGACAAGGTCGATTTTGTGGAGGGGAGAGTTTTTAGGACCACTAAAGAGTCCAATGCAGCCCGCGAAGATGAGATCTGGGCCTCAACAGAAGATGGGCCTAAACGAGCTGAGTTACAGACTTACAGGAGCCAGCCCAACAAGTGGAACCCTCTATCAAGCAAGTATATTCTACAAGGCCACGCCACACTAACTGACCTTCCGAAATCTGTTAATAAAGTACACAGAATCAGAGTTAGTTATGCCTTGTAATATATCTGGAAGTGTAAAAGGGATGACCCCCGAGAAATGAGAATCAAACACAGTTTACCACTCAGACTTCTCTTCTTTTTCTGTAAGGAGGAAGTGTATCCCTAAAGAAACACCTGAGTTGGGCAGTAACCCAACACAGACATTGTGGGAGTATTTAGAGACCATGACAGCACAATAAGAGACATTACATTCAGGCCTATGGGGAACGGTAGTTGAATTAGAGCATAGCTGTTAGCTGTACTCCTAGGCCTAAAAATTGGGAAGGATCTCAGCTATAACCGATTGCTGATAGAGGGGGGGGGGTGGGATTCAAAGGTCACATTACAAGGTGGCTTAAGAACAACAGTTTGGGACCATGGCAATATAGACATATATTAACAGAAAAAAGATATTTAGCTAGGGAGATGGGAGCTAGTTTCACCTGGGTTCAAAAATCATGTAACAGCTTGGCAGATGCATCGGCTAAAAGTGCCAACAAAACACAATTGCTTAGAGGGATCATTCCTAGGGAGAATAAATGTTAATGCAATGTAAATTAGAAGGGAAGATCCATATTAAGACCATTAGGCAGCAATGCTTGCCTAAAAAGTGGGATGGAAGAAATGCCTTTTGTATATACCACACATTCTGCAGGGATAAGGCTGTGTACATCTGTCCCTCCACAGACCCTGCATTGGCAGGAGCCTCATCCACTGGGCTGCCCTTTTACAGTTGCCAATAGAAAATGGCCTTTGGAGGCTATTCAATAAGACCAGACAGACAGGAGTTTGGTTTCCAAAGTGAACTTCCACTACATTGGGTTCCCAGATGAGTGAATAATCTAGCAGATATTCTTGCATGTTGTAGCTTCAGTAGTTGTTCTTGTGATAAGAATAGGATGAAGTCAATTTAGATTGGTTCAGTCATATTAATTGGAGTAAATAGTTGCACCACCAAGAAGGTTTAACTTGTTACAAGTTGAGGGCTCCAAAGTGAAAGTGGTAATAAAGACTGGAATGCTGATAATTTAAGATATGGCCTTTAGATGGAGTAGAATGGTGAGCAGGATTTGTATAGCGAACTCTAAGTCTAGAGGGTCATTGTGTGGTCCAATGGAAAAATTTCAGGCGAGAAAGTGTGAACAAGGGTGGAGGCAGGGGGACCGAGGGGAGCCTTGATTCCCCCTATGCCTCAAAATTCTTCCCCCCTCCCCCCCACCAATCCATGTTTATAGCTTTTGGCCCCCCATCCTGTCTCTACCCCTGAGCATGAAGATGTGGCCTTGAGTCTGAGAGCTGCTCCTCCATGCAACTAATATGTGGGCAAGCTCAAGTGCCCTTAAACCTGTGTTACAGGAATTTTGGTCCCCACCAACTCAAAACAGGATAAAGCTAAACTTTGATGTCAGTTCTTTAGGCAACCCGGGACCCTTGGGTATATAGGGTGTCTTCAGAGAATAAGGCAGAATTTTAGCATTGTTCTCGGGCCCAATAGGAGTGGGTGACTCTTTGAGGGTGGAATTAATGGCGTTACTACAAGGTGTAAGATACGCAAAGCAGCTAGGACTACAAGTAGAAGTAGAAGTAGAAGGAGATTCAAAGCTGGTAATAGGGTGGCTGCAATCAGGTAATTTGGGAGCATGGATACATAGACAGTCAATGAGGGAAATTATCAGCCTAACAAGAGAGATTGGTGTCTACATCAAGTGGATAAGAAGATCAACTAATGGATTAGCAGATACATTAGCTAAACAGGGGGCTGTTATGGGGAACATGTTCTGGGCAGTGTTGTGACTTGGTGATTGTATCTCAAACCCTACTCTAGGGGTGACAGTTTTTTTTTAAGTTTTGTTTAATGAAGTTATCGTTTCCGATAAAAAAATATTGTGTATTTGTGTTTGCATGATTTATTGTTATTGTTTTCTTAGTGTGGAGTCATTATGTCAGCAAGTTTGTCCTTTGTTCCTTTCTCATTTGTTCATTCAATTCAGGTAATGTTGTTGTCAATGTCAGCTTTATGTCTTCAGGAACTCCTTTCTTTTAAAAGGGACTCACTCCTGTTACCAAACTGTGCTTAAAAAACAAAATTTTGGTCTAGTAACATGTGATATTGTTTATAATCTTCATATCTATGATTTATAATTTATATAACAAGCAGTAGTCTTAAGAATCTTTCTATTTATGGTTTATATATCTTGCATTTTCACTAAAACAGAAACTCCTGTCTGCAGGTCCAACTGTACACGGATTCTGAAACTTTCAAACTAATGGGTAGAGTCATAACATTTGTCTTTCTGAATTATTATTATTATTTTTTTTTAATTTTTCTCTGGTAGTTATAGAGAGAAGGGTTGATATTTTCCCTTGCAAATAGCTGCCGAATTGATCTTTTAGCCATTGTAGCTTATATTGGGAAAATTTCCAGGAAAAGAACATGCTCTTCTCATATGCAATCACAGAAGTGACATTGATTGGCTTGTTGGATGGGTTTTAGCTCAGGTACTTATTTTTCCATATTGTGTATTGGAACCTACTCATGGCATAAAGTTGGGTATCCATATATGATTTGCTATTCATTCTTTATCTAAACCTTGGGCTTAATTTATCTCCGCCTTCATTGACTGGTAATTTAGTCTATCTTTACCAGCATTCGGGTTGCCTTGGTAGCACTCTGGCTGTCATGAAGAAGTCATCAAAATTCCTTCCAGTGAGTGCCCTGTTTCTGTTGACAAGATGAAGCTTATAAGTTTAATTACTTTATAATTTGCAAATCTAACCAACGTTTTATTGTTTTTGAGGAACTTATCTTGTATCTCTTGTGTAAATTCAAATTTCATCATTCTTGGTGCAACACATTGCTATTGTTTTTGTCTGAGGCTTTCACTTTGTTTTATTTATTTATCTTTGTTATTCTTTTAGCTGGGAGTGGGATACAGATTATATTGTTGTTTTGATGATGATATATTTTAAGGGGTAATAGGATATGATTGCTGTATGCAGGTCATAGGGTGGTCGATGTGGTTTTCTGAATATGTCTTTCTGGAAAGAAGTTGGGCGAAGGATGAAAACACATTGAAGGTGATAATGTGTTAAATATGTTGGTGAAGTTGTGCGTATCATTTTGGCCACTTCTCTGGCTTCATTCGGGCTGTATGCATGTGATTGTAATCTGCAGGCTGGACTTAAACGGCTGAAAGACTTTCCTCGGCCCTTTTGGTTGGCTCTTTTTGTGGAGGGAACTCGCTTTACTCAGGCAAAACTTTTGGCAGCTCAAGAATATGCAGCTTCAATGGGCTTACCTGTTCCTCGAAATGTTTTGATTCCCCGCACTAAGGTTAAATATTAGCATAAAATAGCGTGCTTTTTTATAGATCTTATACTTTTCTTGTTTTCAGTTATCTACTATTTGCATCCGTTTCACATTTTTTTTTGTCTAACAACCTTTTCTATTGGGCTATGGCTATCTTGGTTAGTTTTTGTTATTGTGCATCTATAGCCAGCTTTTTTATTTGTCTAGTTGCTCAATTAGGAGGTTTCGATCTTCTCAGTCAAAAATTTTAAAGAATATAACTTGGAGTTCCCTTTATTGTTTTCTTTTTCTTGTTTTTGTCATATAGGCATTGTCTTATTGCTCATGGTATTGTATTTTACTTGTATCATCCTTGGTGCTTTAGTGTATATTTTTGCATTTTCTTGACTTGATGGGCATATACTAGAAGAGACATTACGATTTGTATTATTTGCAGATGAAAATTGTGATTAATGAGATTAAACAGGGGGCATATAGAAAGCTAAAAATATGAAGGGAAGTTATAGAATCTAGAGATTCAAAAATCAAAATAAGCCAAGATTGAAGACATGCGGTGTAACTTCAATGAAAATAGGTCAAGAGATAAAAAGATAGTCAAAATAAGCCACGATAGAATACATGCAGTGTAACTTCAATGAAATAGGTCTAGAGATAAAAAAGCTAGTCAGAATTGGTGGCCAAGGGATTACTCAGAACATAATTTTCTGTATCTTGTTTAAATTATCCATTAAGCAAGGAATGAATGAAGATTGGGTGTAGAGATAGAATTGGATGTATCTAGTGGAATATGCTTTAGGAGACCCATCTTACCAGTTCATCATCATCATCATCATCATCATCTAAGCCTTATCCCATCTATATGGGGTCAGCAGTCAGCTACATGAATCCTGTTTAGCCATTCTTTTCTGTCTGGTGCTGAGCGCAAAAAGACAATCCATTACCATAAGAGTTTAGCAAAGGTTTTAAAATTGGCTGCCAATCTGACTTATCTTACCAGCTCGTACGATTAAAAGTGGGGGAAAGTTTTTATATAATTACTGTGAGTTGCTATGATTTACTTAGTGGCAAGACTAGGTGTGATAAGTTCATACTGGATTACTTGAAAGGGGACCAAGTTTTCAAAAAAGTAAGTTTCGGGTAGCTGTGGGATGGCATTCTAAGGGATGCTCGATCCCCATCCTTATGGAAATTTGAGAGAGCAAAGAAGCTTAAAGAGGCCAAATCAAAGGAAATCAAGAAATTGCTTTGATTCTATGGTTAAGGATTCTTGGAGAGTACTCAGAAATTTTGTGCCATGATCTTTGGTAGCTAGTCAAGAGTCCTCAGAAATGCTAAAGCAAACTTTATTTGGAGCTGCATCCCCTTTACAGTGTGCTGGGAGGTTTGGAAGGAAAGGAATAGAAGAATTTTCGAAGGAAAATTGAAAAGCATCAAAGATTTAGGCGCATTGATCAGTTGAAGAATTGAATGGGTTTTAATTCTTCTAGAATTTGAAAGTCTCAGCCAAAAAGTCATTGGAGTGGAATTTTAGAGTTGCTGGAATATTTGAGTCTTTATTGTATCTTGAATTAGTGATCTGTTTTGTGTCTTTTTGATTTCCAGTTTTGTTTGTTGGGTGGTGACTCCTTGTCACCTAGAAGTTGTACCTTGCCTTATTTTGCAATAAATTTTCTTCTTTATTTATCTTAAAAAAAGGATTCTTGGAGAGTACCCCCCCCGCCCCTACCCTCCAAGAATCCTTAAACCTAGCATCAAAGCAGTTTCTTGGAGGGTAGTACTGTTGCTGATGGAGGTGAGTAGGTGTTATGTTAGTAGATGTTCAAGACTGCTATCAGTCTTGAACCCTAATAAATTTCAGGTTCGAAAAAGGAGAAAAAGTATAAAGGAGAGAGGAGAAAGAGTAGAGAGAGAGCAGTAGAACACAAGAATTGAAAGGAAGGACAGAATCTGAATGTTCTGYYGCYGCCACTTCTATTTARTATTTATAGGTTATGCTAGTTACATGAAAGGACAAATCTGCCCTTGGTATTTACATAACACATAAAACAATATAAAACTGAAATATAAATAACAACTAGAATAACAGATTGACCATYAGCTAACCCTAGGATGACTAGGGTACATTCTACCCTACGGACAGAGTGGGACCACAGCTGTGGGGCCCACATCAGTGTTCTCTACAATGTTTATGAACTGATTGTATTGGACTTTGGAGTGAGATATTGTTATATGCATGGGACTGGCAGAATCAGGACAGTGGTTAAGGAAGATGTCCTAATTGTAGGACTTTGGACTAATGATTTCTTTGAGCCTTAATATAAAGGAGGTTGAGGGGGACTTGCATTTTTTTTTCTTCATGGGCGGGTAGCCCATCCCCTAAACCCATAACTCTGCTCTGGTTCGCTCGCTCACCGAAGCTCCGAGAACCCCCTATTTTCTAATGTTGTTCATTTATTTATTGTAATAAAATATCTTCTTAAAAGGTAATGAAAATTATAAAGTCATCCCCCTATTTTCTAATGTTGTTCATTTATTCATTGTAATAAAATATC